TTCTAGTTGTTTTTTTTTTCTATAGAACCATGCGACCAACCGAGCTCAATGACCCCACACTTATCAAAACTTGCTTGAATTTTTAAATAACAAAACTTCCCTTCTGGTCTAACAGAAATTCAAAAAAAACAAAAATATTTTAATTTCTTTTTTCGTGCATTTATTTTCCTTTCCACTTGAATGAAAACAAACAAAAAACAACAACAATAGTTTGTAAAAAAAAGAATGCCAAAAGATAACTATGCGGAAACCTTACCACAAACAACAATCTAAAAATATGTTTTTTTGTTTTGTTTTTGTTTTCGTAGCATAATTAACACACTAACAAAAGTAAAATAAAAAAAAAACAACTCAAGACTTTTTTTCAATGTTCCCATGATGACGGGTGGACAGACATTTAATGGCGACCATTAGGTGGTACAAATAGAAGAAGGGAAATAATCGTAAAAATAAAATTGAAACGAAAAAAAAAACGACAACGACAACAAGCTTGAAACAATGGCAAAAAAAAAATATATGTAAATGCGCCCCATACATAAATTAAAAATTTAAAAATACAAATTAAACAAAATAGTGAAAAAATAAAAACAAATAAAACAGCGAATAAAAAACCTACGCACCATGAATTAATTTAGTTTGCAAAAATGGGATATTTTAGTTAGGAGTTTTATTCCCTCCTAATACAAAACTATAAAAAGGGATATGGATTGGTTAACCAAAGTGGAAAATTCTTGTACTGCTATTTTTTAAAAAAATATTAAGGAAAATATTCTTAAATATTTTAAACAGTTAAAATATTTTAAAAAATCTAAAAAAATATTCGCGTGATTGCCCCCGTAAAAACGAATTGAAAAATACTTTAAAAAATTATACTAAACCAGTATGGAAATTAGTAAAGTCGGTCGGGGCCGACTAAATGATACACTTCACCACTATGAGTATATTAAAAAGATGCATCCTAACAGAATGGCCATTAACATGAAATTTGATGAACTAAAATATGTGACCTTTATCTAAATGTCAACCGACTTAGATCAATCCATAAATATGTCATTCGTTTCTTACAATGGGACAAAATTATGTAAATCGATTTATAGCACATATCAATCGGCCACTCGTTGAATTAACACGGACAATTTTTAGGCAACATTACACACACCATTCTAGACTCAATTCAGTACGCTTTGTCAAATTTCTTACAAAATTAAAAATTAAATCGGGCAAACATTTTTTGGAGCTATATCTAAATCTGAACCGATTTTCACGAAACTTAACACACGTCATTCTAGACTTCACTCAGTACGCTATGCCAAATTTCGTGCAAATCGAAAAATATATAGGGACTTTGGTGAACCATTTACCTTAAATCGTTCGACGAACATATGGGAGCTATATCTAAATCTATGTGGGAGCTATATCTAAATCTGAACCGATTTTCACGAAACTTAACACAAATCTTTCTTGTCTCAATTTAGTACGCTATGCCAAAATTTCGTTGAAATTGAAAGATATATAGGGACTTTGGTGAACCATTTACATTAAATCGGTCGAAAATATAAATGGGAGCTATATCTAAATCTGAATTGATTTTCAAGAAAATTTACACACATCACTCTAGTCCCAATACAGTACGCTATGCCAAATTTCGTGCAAATCGGAAGATATATAGGGACTTTGGTACATCATTTACATTAAATCGGACGAAAATATATATGGGACCTATATCTAAATCTGGACCGATTTTCAGGAAACTTAACACACATCATTCTAGACCTAAATCATTAGGCTGTGCCAAATTTCGTGCAAATCGAAAGATATATAGGGACTTTGGTACATCATTTACATTAAATCGTCGAAAATATATATGGGAGCTATATCTAAATCGGGACCGACTTTCACTAAACTTTACACACATCATTCTAGACCTAAATCATTAAACTGTGCCAAATTTCGTGCAAATCGAATGATATATAGGGACTTTGGTGTACAATTTACCTTAAATCGGACGAAACTATATATGGGAGCCATATCTAAATCTGAACCGATTTTAAAGAATTTTTACACTTATCATTCTAGACTTAGTACAAAATGAAAAAATTCGCTGTGGCAAACAAAAATTTACTGTGAAAAAAATTCATTTCAGGGGGGTCCCGGGCCGCCCCCCTGCGTACGTTCCTGATGGGCGCTATATCTAAATCTAAACCGATTTTTCCCAATTTCAATAGGGTTCGTCCTTGGGTCAAATAATTGACCTATGCCAAGTTTCATCCAATTCGGATCATAAATGCGACCTGTACTTTTTTACAATTTAACATGGACAGATATACGGACAGACGGACATTCATAAATCGACTTAGAAAGTGATTCTATGCATATTCTCAAAAGAAACCATGTGTCTATCTCTTCTCCTTTTGCCTGTTACAAACATATGCACAAATAAATAATACCCTGTACCACAGTATGGTTAAGGGTATACAAATATTTGGAAAGTAATTGCGCCCAACATAATGTTGTATTTAAAAATTTTTGTTTTAATTATTATTTGATTTTTAAATAATGGCGCCCAACATAATTTTTTTATTTTTTATTTCTTTTTGGAACTCGTTTCCAAAAATATTTATATAGTTTTTTATTCCTTTTTTAAACTTTGTTAAAAGTATTTATTTAATTGTGGCGCCCAACATATTGATTCATTAGAATATTTGGTGTTTTTTTTCTTTAATCAAGAATAAAATATTCCCAAACAAATCTAAAACGCCATTATATTTTGCGCACAATTTCTCTTGCAAACACCCAAAGGAATTTCTAGCTTATCACTTAAAAAAAAGTATTAGATGTAGCATAAAATTGTCGTAGATGTGTGTATGCTTATGTGAGTATTTAACAAAATATGTTTGCAATAAATTCTTTTACTGGCGCAATGGGTATTCATATTTCAGAAAAGAAGGAAAAATACAATGTTGCTCTCTCCGGCTGGCAGATTATCAAATAACAAAAAAAAAAATGTTTACAAAAAAATTCAAATTTACTTAAATAAGGTCTTAAGGGCCATAGAATTCAATTGTAAAATAAATTTTCAAAAAAAAAAAAAATATATATATGTATATATATATACCCTTATGTACTATGTACGTATTTATTTGACAAGGTCGTTGGTTAGGAGGATGACAAAGCGAAAAAAATATTTTTTTACCAAAAATACAAATTACATACAATTTTTTGGTTTAAAAATAAAAAAAACATATTATGCTATTATGTATTAAATAAAATGACACTGTTATGTTTGTAATTTGACAGCTACACAACAATGACAAAAAAAACAAAATAATGAAAATAAATTAAATTTTTGAAAAAAAAAAACATTTTGTTTCCCCTTGTTTTAGCCAAGCCAACAAAACTATTGTTAACTATTTGCCATTATTTCATCATCAAGTTTTTTTTTGTGGTCTTTGCTTTGGTAATACCTTTTTTTGTTGGTGGCAATGGCGTCTATTTTATAACACACATATCTAGGAAACAAAAAAAAAATATATTTTTTCGGTCTTTGATGTTTTCACTTGTTATTTTGATTTGTTATTTTTGTTGTTGTCTATAATTATTTTTGTAGCTACCAAACATACAAATGTTTATACACAGATATCTTTGGTAATAATGGGGACCACTTTTTTATAAGTTTATAATACACAATCCAATTAACCCAATATAACCCATTTTTTTTAAACATTTTTTATATCAAATTTTCACTCCTTAATAAGACACAGAGTAAATTTTTTTTTGAAAATATTTTTCGTGAAAAAATATTCTTAAAAAAAACCACGCCTTGCTAAGACCCTGAAAAAATATTCTTAAAAAAACCACGCCTTGCAAAGACCCTGAAAAAAAATTCTTAAAAAAAACACGCCTTGCTAAGACCCTGAAAAAATATTCTTTAAAAAAAGACCACGCCTTGCAAAGACCCTGAAAAAATATTCTTAAAAAAAACCACGCCTTGCTAAGACCCTGAAAAAATATTCTTCAAAAAACCACGCCTTGCTAAGACCCTGAAAAAATATTATTTTAAAAAAAACACGCCTTGCTAATACCCTGAAAAAATATTCTTTAAAAAAAACCACGCCTTGCTAAGACCCTGAAAAAATATTCTTTAAAAAAAAACCACGACTTGCTAAGACCCTGAAAAAATATTCTTTAAAAAAAACCACGCCTTCCTAAGACCCTGAAAAAATATTCTTTTAAAAAAACCACGCCTTGCTAAGACCCTGAAAAAATATTCTTTAAAAAAACCACGACTTGCTAAGACCCTGAAAAAATATTCTTTAAAAAAACCACGCCTTGCTAAGGCCCTGAAAAAATATTCTTGAAAAAAATCCACGCCTTGCGAAGAACCTGAAACAATATTCTTTAAAAAATTCACGGCTTGGCTGGACCCTGAAAAAATATTCTTTTAAAAAAGTACGCCTTGGCTGATCCTGAAAAACATCGACGGCTGAAAAAATATTCTTCAAAACATCCACGCTTTGGTTAGTCGCTGATAAAATATTCTTAAAAAATCCAAGCCTTGATAAGTCCCAGATTCTTCAACAAATTAACGCCTTGCTAAGACCTTGAAAAAATATTCTTTAAAAAAGTCACATTTTCAAATATTATACTGGGTATTATGTGGGCCTAGATGTGTGGACCTAACACATCTATAATACCCTGAAAAATATATTCATAAAAAAAATCCACCTTGCTAAGTCTCTCAAAAATCAACGCCTTGATTAGTCCCTAAAAATATGTATTGTTTAAATAGCCCAGCCTTGGATAGACTGAAAAAATATTCTTTAAAACATCCACGCTTATATGCGTCCTTGAAAAAAATCTACCTAATGCCCCATGTTGGGCGCCAATATTAATTAATTTATTTTTTTATTTCAAAAATGTCCCTTTTTTTTATTAATCTTAAGCACTTTATTCCCGTAATTTTTATTAACCTAACTTTTCTTCTCTCTTTTCCATTCCAGTGCGGGAAACTAGACGCACCCGATTCGTCATATCACAAACAGAGATCCGACAGAATGGACGTTTATCAAATTGACGATGGCTTCCACTCGGATGGCGGTACCGAAACCCCGCCACCATCGCCCAGTTCCGGTTCCTCGATTGCCTCGACCTCCGATCATGGCTCGCTAGAGAGTGTCGATACGGGCGGTACACAACGTCTGGCTGTGCTGTCGTTTGAACAGGTGCGCAAGCTGCATCATGTCATGGATGAAAAAGTGGCCATACATGGACGGGGTAATTTCCCCACACTGGAAGTAACGCTAAAAGACTTGGTGAATTTGGTGAGGCGCAAACTGGAGGCAGATGTCGCTTCGGGCGGCGCCGGTGTGATAGTCAAAGATATACGTTTAAATGGCGGAGCAGCTAGTCATGTCTTGGCTTCCGAGGATCAGCCATATAATGATCTGGATTTAATATATGCCATTGAGCTAAGCTCACCACGTCACTTCGATCGCGTTAAGACAGCGGTACTGAACACATTGCTCGATCTCTTGCCGGAGGGCGTGTCGAAGCGACGCATTATGCCCTGTGCCCTCAAAGAGGCCTATGTCGGCAAAATGGTCAAGGTGAATAATAACAACGATGGCGATCGTTGGTCGCTCATCTCGTTGGGCAATTCGCCCGGTCACAAAAATGTTGAACTGAAGTTTGTCGACACAATGCGGCGACAATTTGAATTTTCCGTAGATTCATTCCAAATTGTTTTGGACTCATTGTTGTTGTTCTACGACTGTGCCGCATTACCCATATCGGAGAATTTCTATCCCACCGTGGTGGGTGAATCTGTGTACGGTGATTTCCAGGAGGCCTTGTATCATTTGCAAAAGAAATTGATCTCAACGCGGCAGCCCGAAGAGATAAGGGGCGGCGGTTTGCTCAAGTATTGCAATTTGCTGGTGCGCAGTTACACACCGGTTGATACACAGCGCATCAAGACCCTGGAGCGTTATATGTGCTCGCGTTTCTTCATTGACTTTCCGGATATAAATACGCAGACGGTGAAATTGGAGGCATATTTGCGCAATCATTTCTGGGGCGTCGACGAGGAGCCCTTGCAGTACCAGTACCTGATGCATTTACGTGAGGTGGTCGAGAATTCGACGGTGTGCCTGATGGGTCATGAGAGACGGCAGACGCTGATGTTGATACAGAGTTTGGCGGCCCAGGTGTTGTACAAGGAGCAACAGAAACAAGTCCATGAACAGCAACAGTATCAGCAACAGCAGCAGGCGATAAATGAGCAGCATCAGCAGCAGCAACAACAGCAGCATCAGTCACAACAGTCCCATGCAAATACATTGACACTGGTGGCTGCAACGCCGCCACAACAGCAGCAGCAGCATCATCATCAGCAACAACATTCACACCATCAGCAACAGCTCTCATCACAGCAGCAGCAACAAACATTAGTGCAGCCTCAAACGACCACCATCTATGTACAACAGGTTCCACAAACGACGCCACAAAATGTTGCCACAACAGCCACTCTATGCTGTGCCATGTCAACCGCCGCTCCCGTTGATCCAACGCAACAACAACAACAGCAGCAGCAGCCACAACAGGTGTCAAGCTCACAACAAGCGGCGCAGCAGCAGCAGCAGGTCACAGCCGCCGCAGCCAATGCCACAGCGATGCCACAAACCATACAAATACCGGCGGGACCGCCAAGTCTCATCTATGCCAATGGCATCTATTATGCACCCATGATTCCCGCTACAATTTGCACTTGCAACTCGACATGGTTGAGCACGTGATTAAGTGTGCCATCAACACAGATGTCCGAAACGACAAATACAATAGCAACAACAACAACAGCAGTAGCAGCAGCAGCAATAGCAACACATAACACACAACAACAACAGAAGCAGCAGCAGCAACAACAATCCGCAGTAGTTAAAAATCCAAATGGAATTTTAACAGCAGTAGCAGATAAGGCAGCAACAATTGCTGCAACCACAACAACATCAACAATACAAACAGCTCCGGCCAAGTTTATTAACAATTCCATAACACTAGAAGCAGCAGCAGCAGAAGCAGCATCAACTCCAAACTCCATCAGCCTCCATAGTGGCTCCACCAACAACATTAATTCCTGCTCCTCCTCCTCCCCCTCACAAATTTCCCCCACCGAATGTTGTAAGGCGATGGCTTTACAAATGTCCCTGGCAACGACCATCAACAACAAGAACAACAACAATCCAGCAAAGTGTCAAAACAACAACAACACCGACAGCAACACGAAGAATAAAAAGAAATCTGCAACCATCCACAATGAGCGCTGTTGTGGCATGCATGATATCAAAGACGCCATCGCCAACAATGGCCTCCTCGCCTCAGATGATGCCAATGACAATGTTGATGATGATGATGAAGATGATAATTATGACGATAATAACAATAAAAACAACAAAAATAAAGATGATGATGACCATAATCAATATGCTGATGAACAAGAAGAAGAAGAAGCTAACATAGATGATGATAACCAAACGAAGAAGAAGAAGAAGAAGCAGAAGCAGAAGCACCCAGCAGAATCGTTAGCAGTAGAAGCAGCACCATCGGACAATTTATTATCACTACCCTTCTCCATGGCCGGTGATTTAATTTTGACCCATGAACAACATGATTTCCATTTAGAAGGTGACATTGAGGATCTTCCTGATATATTGCATGCAACTAACAGCATCAACAACAATAACAACAACAACAGCAACAGTAACAGTAACAACAAATTAACTGGCGAATTTGCCTACTTTTATCCCTATGATGGTTCCGAGCCCTCGATTTTATTAATAGGTAAAGATTTTTATATAAATGTAACACCTCAACAGCAGCAGCAGCAGCCACAACAACAATCACATGATATACAGCAACAACAACAACAACAACAACCGTTTCAAACTTTGTTACTACAAAGATGATTAGATCAGGTTTATTAAATTGTGAAAATTTACAAACACATTAAGAGAGGTTCAGTTTTCTTCTTCTTCTTTGAAAACATTTTTAACATTTTCCAAAATTCCTTATATTCACAAAGAGGCTCATGAGCTTCTTCTTCTTCTTCTTATTTCACATAATTATTATATACTTAATAAGTTAATTTTTTCCCTTCGATTCGATTTTTTTCCTTTTCATTTATTAGCTTCTAGTCTTCATTACTACTTACTTAGCGATTTTAATTTCAATTTTTTTCTCAGTATTTTTTTTTTTAGATTTCCATTAGACAAAAAACCCTAATCCGCATAATTTTCTATGTGGATTTGAAGAAAAAAAATCAAAAAACTATAAAAAATTATTAAATATATAAAAAAATTCCCATGGAAGTTTTTTTTATTGTTTAGTAATTAGAAAAAAATATTTTTTTTTTAGTTTCCACGAACTTTTAACACAATAATCCATAAATATTGTAAATCACACATTGGGCGCCATTTTATTCTTTATACATGTGTTCATATGCATTTCAACCAAAATTGCATTTTAAATTCAATTATTATTTATTACTAATTTCATTTTGGAAATGTTTTGGTCGCCAATTTAAAAAAAGCATAGCCTTTTATCCATAGTCATTTAACATCCTTCTTAAACGTTGGGCGCCAATTCAAAAAAAGATATACATTTTAAATTTAATTAAATAAAAATTGCCATATGATCTTTTATCCATATTTTGTTAACACCAATATTATGTCATAAAGAAAATATATAAATCAAAATTAGTTAATAATAATAAAAATTGATCATCTACTGATCGCTACCAAATGTTGGGCGCCAATCAAAAAAATAAATAAATTTAAGGAAATAAAATTGCATTGAATTCGAATATAAATTGTAATTTTCTAAGGTGAATCAGTAAAAAAAATCATAATTAAATATTGGACATCTGTTGGGCGCCACTCGATCAAAATTAAAATTTTCATATAAGAAGAGATAGAAACTAGTTTTTGAATCTTTAGTACTAATATCAACTTCCTTTGGGCGCCAATAATTGGAAATGGTCACAAACAAAATAAATTCATTAATTAAAACAATAAGCTATTCTTCCGTGAAAATAAAAAAAAAAATAATTTTCGATTTGATTTAGCCTTCCGTTGGGCGCCAATTATTAAGAATTTATATTTCTGTTAATTTTTAAATAAAATTGCCTTTTAAAATTACATAATTAAAATAATATAAAAATGACTTCAAAGTAAATTGCAAAACGTAAATTTGGTCTAACGTTGGGCGCCAATTACTAAATTATCGCAATTAATGAAAAAATTTCCATAGATTACCGATTAAAACATTTATTCTAAACACGTTGGGCGCCATTACTGATTGGCCCTATGCCAATTTAAATTCTAACATGATTTATTTAATTTGTAATGACGTGAAAATAAAAAATAACATCATTTTCGATTTGATTTAGCCTTCCGTTGGGCGCCAATTATTAAAAATGCATATTTCTGTTAATTTTTAAATAATATAAAAATAACTTCAAAGTAAATTGCAAAACTTAAATTTAGTCCTAAAGTCGATTAATTATTTAACAAATTTTTAAACACGTTGGGCGCCCTATGAATATTGGACCTATGAATATTTCAAGTTTTAAATTTAGATGTCAGTCCAAAAATAACCCCGCATAAGGCGCCACTTGACTCAATTTTTATTTAAAATATGATGTCCCTAAAGTCGATTAATTATTTAACAAATTCCTAAACACGTTGGGCGCCACATTTATACCATCTTTCTGGTAGTATTTCTAAATCACTTATTGGCTCTATTGAATGATGTTTCAAGTTCAGCATAATATGGATTTGTTTATTTGTGACCTAAATAATTACCATTCACGTTGGGCGCCAAAGTATTTAAGAATTATTGAACCAAATCTAATATCCTCACGTTGGGCGCCAAATACAAAATATATACTCACTTTGGGTGCCAAATTAAAAATATCCATTAATAATTTTAAAAATCAAATTATTACTATGGCCGCCAAATTAAAAATATCCATTAATAATTTTAAAAATCTAATTATTATTTTTCTGCTTAGTAGTCTAAGTGTTGGGCGCCAAATGCGTTTTCATTCTTAAATCTTTGTAAGAAAACTGGGGAAAATAACGTAATTTAAAAAAAATTATATTTTCCTGTTGGTCGCCACTTTTGTCTCAGTTAAAAAAAAGAATGACAAATAGAAACCATATATTAAAACAAAATAATGCCCTCCTTGATTCAAAAGATACCAAAATTGTGCATCAACATAAATGGAGTGAATACAACAAACATTATTGCCTATTTTTCCACGTTGGGCGCCAATGTCGGGTTTCTCCGTTTTTAATAAATAATTTGTATCTAATTTCAAAAGTTACTTTCACATACTTTCATCTAGAAAAAATACTTTCACATAAATAAAGACATATTGAGGAAACAAATACCTTCAAAAATATAGTCATTAACATATTGAGTTTTTTAACGTTTCATATTGGGCGCCATTTTTTGAATACTTCTCAATTTATTAAAATGTTTTTTTTTTTTTTGTAAATTAAAGAAATGTTCTTCTTAATAATGCTTTGATTGAAAAAATCAGCTGAACGTATAACTTGTGCTTTATTTACAAGTTCGACATTCTTCTGACCCCACATTGGGCGCCAACGTTGTGTTGCAAATTACATTAAAAGGGAATTATATACAGAACATTTATACGATTTATGGAGTATTGTGTTCTAGGTTCAATTTATTTATTTCGCCTTTACATTTTGTGTTTAAAAATTAAAAAAAAAATTAATGAATAATAATTTTCGATTTTCAATTTATAACTAATATATATTTTTTATTTGGATAAATATTTCATTTTTTTATTTATTTTTTGTTCAAAGTTTCATAAAATAATTTATATTCTATAGAAATAATATCTCTTATGGAGACATATATAGGTTGTTTGGTGAATTAATTATTTGATATTGAGGCATATAGTTTGAAATCGCACACGGATGGATGTTTTTTTTTATTTTATAGGAATTCATTGCCTAGAAAAAAAAATTCTAGGCATTATGAAAAACACATTCTGAAAAAAATCTTGCCTTGTGGGGTTTCAGGCTCAACTATTACAAAAACAAACTCTTTTTTCCGGGGAAGAAATTTAAATGGTTCCTTATGGCTCCCTTTAAAGAACACTCCCCTCATTCAACGAGCTGTTCAATTGTGATGATTGCTGTTGAGGTGTTATTGTGAATTATTTAATTTCATTTTATTAATTTTTTTTGTAAATTTAAGTAGCACTGAGTCTTGTATTTTTGCCACTTAATATTTTTTCCTTTATTTTATTAATTCAATAATTATTTTTAATACGTTTTTTTTTTCATTGTAACATTTTTTTAATTAATATAATGTAAAGTAATTTAGAAAAGAAAAATAAGGAGAAAAACTGCTTAACTTTTTTTGAAACACAAAACAAAAATCATTTTTTTGAAATAAACTTGTAACCGTGAGCTTTTTGTTTTCGACATGTGAAAAAAGTAGTGTTTTGAAGCAAAAAAAACTGAAAAATAGAAACTGCAACCATAAAAAATAATTCTTTCCATTATAATTTTTTTTTTCGTAGAATTTATAGCTGATTTACTATAAAAAACAAAAACAAAACAACTTAAGTAACGTTTTTTTCCTTTTATCATTGTGAATGGGGGGAGGTTGCTTTTTCCGGTTGGCCTTAAATAAGGCGGCGAAAGAAAACGTGACCCACCCCCTGATATATATTTTAGGAAACACCAAAATTTTTAATTAAAAGAAATATATATAAAATTTTTTCAAAAAATCTCTTAAAAAATAAATGTGAAAACTAACCAAGGGAAACAACAAGAATGATTATTCAGGATTATATAACAAAAAAATTATCCTATATACAAAAAAAAAATATTAAAATAAAAAAAATAGAGATAAGAGGAGAAAAACGTATTTATTAAAAACAAAAACAACAACAACTGAAAAAAATTAAAGTAACAAAAATACCAGAATAAAGTCTTGATATATTAGTAAATGAAAGACATAATAATAATAAATATAAAGCAAACAATTTTTTTTTATTATTCTAATTATTATATATTATAATTATATTAATGTAATTAAAGAAAATAAATAAAAAAATATATTTAACAAAAGAAATTATGATTTTTTAAAAAAAAAATACAAATAAAAAGCCACAACAAAAAAATTAAATAAATAAAATAATAATAAAAAAAAAAACGAAATTAGAAGAGAAATCAACAACAACAACAAGAAGAAAACAAAATACCATATTTTATAATATACATATACATATTATATATATTATACATACATTAAAATAAAATAATGAACATAAATATTAAAACATAATTCCTGTAATGTTATAATCATAAGCCAAGAAAAATACAGCAAACGAAATGTGACAAAAAAGAAAGAAATAATCAAATAAATATTCTCCAAAAGAAATGAGTGGTAGATTAGAAAAATTGGATGCTCTCCGGGAGAGGGTGGGCCACACCATACCAGAAGGAAAAAATCATTGATTGGGAAGAAAGCATCCTGCCTATCCTAGTGTCACCCCTGATTTTTTTCCTTTGGGTCCAATTTTGTCTCTTGGCCTCTTTTGTTGTCCCCCACCCTCCCCTGGCCAGCAGGCTAAGTAGCGAAAGTAGACGTGAGAAAAAGGTTTACCTTGTAAAAAAAATTCTTTTTAAATTAAATTTTTGCTGTTAAGTTTTAATTTAAATTATTATTACATATATATATGAATCATCAAACAAACAAAAAATGTTTAACTCAAAACCAAAATGTGAAACGAAATCTAATAGAAAAAAAGTCTTTAAGAAAGGCTTACATTTTTTTCTTTTTTGGAAAAATTAATTTTTTTGGAAAGAAAAATCCATTTAAATCCAAAATATTTTAAGCGTTCCTTCCATACACACACACA